CAGGGCACAAGGCCAGGTGGGGTGTGGGGGGCTCCTCTAGGCCCAGGGAGAGGGAGACGTACCCCACCCCCACCGGGCCCCAGAGTGGTGCCAAGGGGGCTGCACGTCCTTCCCTCCATCCCACACAACACACTCATAGCCTACACACTCTACCACGATCCCCCAGCCACCACACCACTGGGATCTCTCTGGAACCCATCCCTAGCTTCTATTCCCCACATGCCCAGGTCTCTGCCTAGGCAGCACACTCCCACCGCCCTCCTCCTTTGCCTCCAAGCCTTCTCCAGTATGCCCGGGATCTCTGAGCCTCCAGGTCTGGGGCCTGGGTCTGCTTTCCCAGTACCCTCAGCACCATCTAGAGCCACCAGTACCCAGCTGTCTCTAAGCACATGCCCCTGACTGCCACTTCCCAGCCCAGCTGCAGCTACGCCCTGCTCGCTACCCCACAGGGAATGTTCCAGAGGCTGTCAAATGTGTCCTCCCCTTCTGCACTCAGTCCCCAAACAGCATTCCTCCTCGGCTCTCCCTGGTCCGCACAGTGGGCCCAGTGGCCCCTAACCCTGTGATCGCCACAGCTCCTGAGCTAAGTGCCTGGGGGGCAGGGCTTGGGTTTACATTTGCCTGTCCCTCCGTCCCCCATCCTCAACACAGGGTCAGACAGAAGCTGGCTATCATCAGTGGATGCCCCCTGAAGGAGGAAGTGGGTGCAGCTCCTGAAGGCAGCTGACAGATGGGGAGGTGAGAGCCAACCCCAGGGTACCACACCCTGGCCTCAGAGCCCACACTAGGGACCTTATGTTCTCGCCTGTATCCTTACCCCAGCCCAGGCACCTCCTCCAGGAAAGCTTCCCCAGCACAGAAGCACCTCAGACCTTTCCCATCCCTGAGTTCATTCACCCCCAAGTCAGGGCTAGGTCCTGCTCCAGCAGCTGGGGTCCTGCTCCCTGAAGATTTCAAGCTAGCCACATGCCAAGCCACAGCTGGAGCCAGCCAGGGCCACAGTCCCAAGGGCCTAACTTTGGATTTGGGGTCACCCTTCTCAGGACCTCTCTGATGGCACAGACTGGTAAGGTTGTAAGCCACTGTCCTTGTGTCCAACAGTGCGGCCTCCTGCACCCAGGTCTATAATGAGGATGGCCTCTGTACAGCACCTGCCCAGCAACTTCCTACGGCCAGGGGGACCTGAGCCCTGTTGAGGGTGCAGGAGCAGCCAGCCAGTCTGAACTTGAATTTGCCCAGTCCTAGCCCTGAGAGCACAGATTAAGATGGACCCAGAAGTGGGAAATGACCCTCTCCCCTACCAAGGGCATACACAGCAAGGACTGGGCTCTTGCCCAGCTGGGTCTCCTCCAGGTTGCCCTCCCACAATGACACAGCAGACGGAGACCCAAGGACAGAGGCTAAATGGCAGCCAGGGGTCCAAGGGACGGAGTAGCCCTAAACAGCCAGTACTCAGGTCTCAGATGTGGGGCAAGGGCTGGGGCAAGGGTAGCCTTGGCAAACCCGGGGCCTGATTCACCTTTAGCCCTTTGTGGCTGCTTGGCCTTGCTTGTCAGGACTCCCACTCTGTCTGCTGGGTGGGATGATTCAGCCTGAGCCCCCAGGGCAGGTGCCAAGCCTAGAGGGAGGGGGAGGGGAGACACAAAGCAGGCAGCTGGCCTCGGCCCTGCTCCCACCCCCTCAGCCCTCCAGAGTTTTCAGGGCCCCCTGGAAATCTCAGAGTGTCCAAAGGGGGAGAATTAGCAGCAAAGGGATGGAAGTGAGCCCAAACTTGAGAGCTTGGAACTTGGCAGGGGAATGGGAGGTATCACTCAAGGGAAGGGGAAGAGTCTAAGGACAGGCTGTCAGAGTCTGAGATACAAGCCTGCTACCCAGCTTCCTGCAGGGAGAGCAACCTCAGGTTCTTAGCCACTTCCTGAGAGACTGAACTCAACAGCCCCAGTGCCAAGCCCCCTTAAGCAGTGCACTCCTGTCACAGGCCCAGGCTCCCAGCAGGCCCCACTGAAGCCTCCAAAGGTTGCTGCAAAGCTGGGGTCTTGTGTGGGGTGGGGACAGAGGGATACCTAGAGTTGTCTGTCCTCACTCCACCAGGGTTCTAAGAACCTTCAGGGAAGGGGCCACATCTCCCTTGCCGCTCACATGGCCAGTGTAAGGCTGGGCACACCACAGGTATCAGGGGAAACAAAATAGAGCTAGATGGCCCATGGGCTGCGTTCAGAGGGGCCTGGAGCCTGGAGCCTGGGAAGAACTGGTAGCCCAGTTGGGCAAACAACCAGAGAGGGGCAGGCACACACACAGTGATAGGACAGCACAGTCAGCTGTGTACCCTAGCTGGTTCTGGCTCAGAGGCTGGCATGGCTTCCAGGGTTTCCAGCATGGTTGGCACAGAGGGGAAGCCTGGCCTGCCTTGTACCCAGATCCACGTTGGGCAGCTGCCTTCAGGCCAATGTCTGAACCCTCAGGAGATGGGGTCTGCTTCCTTCCAGGACTCACAGCATACTACAAGGCTGGGACCAGGTGAGGCTGGGGAGCCCAATGGAGGGCAGGGCAGAGGGGCCTTCAACAGCCCCTTCCCTCTCTCCTGGCTCCCTTCATGGGGGACAGGGGAAGGGAGAGGTGGCACAGGGGGAAATCCGTCTGCTAAACAGACAGGTGGACCCTCCCATGCCCCCCAATCACCCAGGATCACAAGCACAAGGCATGCCCCCATGGCAGCTGGCTTTTCCCATGCCAGGGACAGGCCTGGGACAGACAGACAGGCGAGAGGTGAGGGGAGGGCAGCAAAAGCCCAATCAACACTTATGGATGAGTGACCCCATCACCCTTGGGGGATTCTGGCTGGGGACCAGCTGTGTAACCTTCGCAAGCCACTCCCTTTCCTGGGCCTCAGCTTTCTCATCCATCAAACAGCAATGGGGCAATGAGAACACAGCGTCCTTTAGGGCTTCAGAGTTATCGATGAGGTGAAAGGCCACTGCGTTGACTAACGCCAGGAGGCGGAGGAGAGCAAGCCTGGCCTGAGACCTGCTTCTGCTTTGGCTGGCCCCAGGTTGTCCGCAGCACAGAGAATGGCCTAGGGGGAGATTACAGAACAAAGGAATGTGTGGCTTGGAGCAGAGATTCTTAGCAGAAATGGGATTAACTGCCCAGTAGCTGGGGGTTCTCAGAGTCTCTGGGTCTCCAAGCTTAGAGACTGCCCATCTCCCCAAGTAGTCCATCTGGTTGTGCTAAGGACCAGCCATGGAGCCTGGCCCCTTAAGATGCCCACAGCCATGCTCCCAGGTTCCTCCGTGGCCTGACCTCTGCTCACCTACAGCCCCTAGCTCTCTGTCCTTTGAGGGGAGTAGAGCTGGTGGGCTAGCATAAGGCTAGGGCTGAGGCAGAGAGGGTTGGGCTGCGAGGACGGAGACCTTGGCTCTCTCGGGACTCACCTAGAGGACCCTGGGCTGGTGCTGTGTATTTGCCTGTACGCCAATGTTGGGGGAGGGGAGTATAAAATAACCGGTGGCAGGTCTTCTGAGGTGGGGTATCGGCTGTGGGGAAGGGACTCTACTCAGCCCAGCAGCCTGCCACTCTTCCACCCCCATTGAAGGCCTCCCAGCATGTCTGGTCTGGTCACAAGGGGTCCGCTACGGCCCCCAGTTCCCCCCTCCAGTCCCAGACAGGGCCGGAGCTTATTCATTAACTGAGCCAGATGGAGGAGGCGGCTCCGCCCTGTTGACACAAAGGGTGGGAGTACGGGGACTCTGCTCAGACCTTGGCCTCCGGGCCTTGGGGGCAGCTTGTGGGGCACATTCAGTGCCCACTGTGCCCTGCCAGCCTTAAACCTCTATCAGGTCACAGCCACACTCTCTCATCACCACACTGCTCCACCTGGCTTTCCCCGCGTTCCTGCCTTCAGCTGACATGCCAGCCCTGTCTGAGTTGGATCCTGAGGACTCAAAAAGGATAGGACATGAACCTGCCCTTGGGAAGTGCCACCCTGGGGTGGCCCGCCCCTTCTCTGCTGATCACACACAAGGTCAGACCCTGGAGATGCCCCCATCCAGGGTCTCTAGGCCTGGACAGAGTGTCCCCGAGGGAAAAAATAGCATCAGACAGCCAGAGTATAGGTAGAGTCATGGCAGAAAGTAGATAGGGCAGGCCAGAAGGCCTAGCAGGGACAGACCTAGTGACAAACATTTAAGGCAAAATAGACAGAAGGCCACAGGTCAGAGGGGAAAGGTCAGACTCCTCAGCTCCCCTGTGACCAGTTCTCAAGTGTGTGTGGGGGAGGTGGGGGCAGGAAGATCTGAGAGAAGTGCCGTGTCCCCTGACAATAAGATGGACTCCTCCTCAGATCCCCAGTGGGCAGTGGAGGGGAAGAACAGGCAAGGAAAGGCGGGATGAGGGGCACATTCAGTGACCGGGAGCCTTGATGGATGCCACACACAGTGGTGCCAGATACACTCGAGGTAGTGCCTGAGGCCCTGGGCTAGACTCTTCACCAGCTTCAGGGCCCTCTGGGCCTCCAGGGCTGCTGGCTTCATGGGGTCCTGAATCCCAAGCCAAAGACAAGGCAGGTGTACAAGGGACTGCCAGCTTAGCAACTTGACTCACCTCTGTGCCTTTAAGAACTGCCAGATACAGGCCAGAAGGTTCAGGAAGGAAGCAGACCCTCAGAACCCTAGCAGTCAGAAAGGAGAACCCGCTCTGGCTGGGGTTCCGGGGTACCAGGTAGACTTCTACCAGGTCTCGCAAGAGATCCTTGTTTTAGAGGGGCCAGGTGGTAGTCCACCTCCAGGAGCTGGCCAAGTGGGCCAGAGGGCAGGTGCTGAGGGGGTCACAGCGTCTCAGGACTCAGTGTGTTCATCTGTGTGAGGGGGGCTTGGCCCAGCAGATGGTGCCTCTCCCTGCATCATAGCAGGAGACTCTGTGGGCCCAGGTGCTTAACCAGGTGTCTTGTGAGAAGCAGGAAGGCAGCCCCAGGCTGAGGTGGCAGTGTAGGTAGATGCCCCTACCTTGATCTTGTGCAGTGTCCGGTCCATCTCCACCGCTTGCACCCACACGGACACACCAGCCTTGCTGTAGGTCAGGTTCCAGCCCACCTCGGCCTCACACTCTGACCGGAAGCTGCGGAAGTCCTGATCGTCGGGCACCTGGACACTCTCGCGGCCCAGCACCGGCCGCGGCCCTTGGGGCTCTGTGGAGGCCATGGGGAGGGTGGCGAGGCCCAGGGCCCTGATCCTAGTCCGGCTCTCCCGGGTCCTCCGCGGAAGCTCCCACAACGTCGACGCGGCTGCAGATGCTGACGCCACCTTCCAGGGACCTGCAAGACCGGTTTGAGGACGGCAGTCAGTGCACTAAGGGGCCCGGGTGGGGCTGTCCGGGGTCCCTGCGAGCCAAGCAGCAGAGCGCAGGGCGACGCCACGGTTGCCCTCCCCTCCGCCCCCGGGCAGCGGTTCGAGGATGGGGAGCAGCCCAGCGAAGGAGGACCCCAACCCCCCCCCCGGGGGGGACCAACATGGGGGTTGCGGGAGTCCCCTGAGGGAACAGCGACGGCAGAGTGGCTGGGGAGCCCCTTCGGCACAAGCGGTGGCCGGACCGGCTCCACGAACTCGGCGCGAGGGGCGCAGGGGGCGCCCGCGAGGCCGGCCCGGCCGCTCACCTGTGCCCGCTGCTCCGCCGGGGCCCGCCGGGGCCGGGGTGCGAGCGCCGCCTGCGCTGCGGCCCGGGCGCCCGGGGGCCGCGCGGGGGCTCCGGGGGAGGAGCAGTGGGTGCCGCCGGCCGCCCGCCCCGCCCCGCGCGCCCGCCCCGCGCCCCGTGCGCCCTCCCCGGGCCAGACTCCGGGCTCGGGGTGCGCGCGGCGCCGCTCGGTATTTTCCAGGCTGCGGAGGTGCAGCGGCCCGAGCTCCGCGCCCCGCCCCGCCCCGCCCTGCAGGGTCCTAGTGCCCGCCCCCGCCCGACCCTGGAGGGGACCGGCCCGGGATGGGCGCCCCGGGAGAGGAGTGGTCGAGCAAGCGTGGGCCTTGAGGTCGCTGCGCGAGGCCACTCGGGAAGTTTTCCTCGGAAGCCTCGTTCTCACCCCCTCCCATCCTCTCAGGTATGCATCTCTGTCACAACCTGTTTGCACTCGGCACGTGGTCCTGGGGACCCCCGGAGACCCAGAGATGGGCGCCCGCATTCTCCCACCCCCCTCCCACACACCGTGGCTGGGGAAGAGCTTAACTGAATGACAGCTCCACCGTGGCTGGGGACAGACCCCAGGCGACAGATCCAACCCCCAACAACCCGGAGGCAGCGTGCAGCCTAAACAAACCCGACCCATCCCTGACCTCTTGCGCAAAGCCTCCAGAATTCAAAGTTCACAGGTCTCCGTCCTAACCTCGCTCCCCCTGGGAGCTTCAACCAGACATCCACCCCCACCCCCTGCTTCGATCTGTCGCCTCTGTCTACCTGCCCTCCCCTTGGTCCAGAACACCCCCACTACCATCCCTCCCCACCATGGATCACACTGGGCTCCCATAAGCAAGGGGCCTCAGAGCTCTGGGGCTGCCTGCCCAGGCAGGGCTGCCTAGAGCCCCAGGGCACCAGGAGAGACAGATCTATTCCCACTACCCTCTCCTAGGGCCCTGGGTCCTAGTGCCAGCTTAGCTTCCAAGTACTCTGTGCTTTGGAGCTAGCAGCTGCTCACCCCTCAGGGACCAGGCCAGTCTACAGGTGGCCCCCTATCTCAGGGGTGGGCCAGGGAGACCTGTGTGGCCAGTGCCTCAGGATGAGCAGGTGTCATGGCCCAGCAAGTGCTACCACTAGCCAGGGGAGAGAGTCCAGGGCCGTGCAGGGCTGGGCCTCCTCTCACCCCAGAGTCCCTTGCTCTGCCCTGTGACCCCCATCTTCCTCCCTGGGCCTTGGTCTCAGCAGGGATAGTCCAAGGCACCTGTCAGCCTCAGCACCCAGAGCCCTGGGATGGAGCAGCTTTCCTCCAAGGTGCTAGGAGGAAGAGGAAGCACTGTCGTCGTCGTGGCAGTTTCACAAATAGAGGTGTTTCTCCCAGCCATGCTGAAGACCTGGAGATGTTTGTAAATCAGGCCCGATTTTAGAAATGAGTGGGGGTGAGCAGGGAGCCCTGAAGACAAGAAGTCTTCCAGAGCCTTCTGCCAAGAAACTCTGTAAACTGGAGTGCAGGTCCCCATGAGTCCTGGTGGGATTGGCCCTGGGTCTCCAGGCCTACCACCTGCAGGGTGGGATGCAAAGGTAAATCATCCTGGCACCCCTTCTTAGGGACACACTGTGTAGTGTCTGCAAAGAGGCTAGCTATGCCCCCAGCCAGCCCTGGCCCTGGCCTCCATGGTCTCCTCGGATCCCCTGACTCCACAGGCTAGTAGGAGAACCCAACAGAGCCCCAGTGGAGCCTACTCCCACCCTGTGAACCACAGCCCTAGGTTTCTTCCATCAGGAGAACAGATGGCAGCACTGCCTGGTACCGCTGTTTTTCTAGTGCCCTAGTGGCACACATCTCAGCAGACAGTTCGCAGCCTGTCACCCAGGCCCTGGGAGATGGTAACAAGGCTAGGTGACAGCAGAAGGTGGCCGTGAGGGCAGGCAGGCAGACTGGCTTCCTACCCTGGAGGGCTGCCCATCTGATCGAGCCAGGAGTCCAGGGAGTTCCAAATGGCAGGACACCAATGAAGGAGGTAAACCCCTGGGGTCTGGGAAAAGTAAAAGGGGAGTGACAAGGGTGGGAGAGGGGGCTCCCAGGCTCAGGTGGCTGTGTCCTGGGCACAGTCCTGGGTCTGAGATGTAGGGAACCCAGGGGCATCACCCCTATCCCACTCTTTAGTCATCTGCCGTTTCCACGGGCCCCTCCAGCCATTTCCACATTTTGCTGTGAAACCCCCGATAACCTCTTGAAGGTGACAGAGTGGATAAGGCCCTATCTGCTTTAGGACAAACAAGCGAGTCCAGAAGGGTGGGAGGGAGGGCCTCTGGAGGAGGAGCCTGGGCCACAGCCTGGCAGTGGAAAGGGCCTGGGCCATTGGGTATACACCCTGGCATCCACAAGTCCCTAACTGTGTGATCAGATGCTGATATGCCCTCCCTGAGCCTCTGAGAATCATCACAATGATGAGAGTTGTATATATTCCAGCTTTACCCCCAGATGAGTAGCCAAGGAGAAGCAGTAGCAGTACCCTCAGATGTGTACCAAGGAGAAGCAGGCACCCTTTCCAAAGCTGCATGATTCCAACCACAAGTATCAGGGGACCCACACTGGGATTTGATCAGTAAGAGTCTCAGGGGAGATTAAATAGAGGGAAAGGTTGGAAAAGGTGGCCCCTGCTCTGCCCGCTGCAGCCCCTTACCCCCAGGAGGTGGTCAGAAGAACTCTCCCAGCTCTTCCCATCCCCTAGGGCAGAGTGCTCCAGAACCACGGAGCAGGAGCCAGGGTGGGTGCAGAAGGTGAGAGTGAGGACGAGAAGGTGCTTAGCAAACCGAGAAAGCATCCGGGAAAGTGAGGATTTATTGTCAGGGGTGCCCACCTGCGTCTCACACGTGCCCCTGACAGAGCATGCTGAGGCCAGGGGAGGGCCCCTGAGTCACACAAGTGAAATCCCACAGTGGGGAACTTGTGCCCCAGCATAGTGATGGGATCATGGGGTCACCAACCTGGCTCACTGCCCCACTTCCCCAGTGTTAGAGTGTGTCAGACACCTGCCTGCAGCCACCTGTGACCTTAATACTTAATACTTCCCTTCAGCCCCCTACCCAAGTAAATTCCTCCTCTGGCTGAGGTCATCTGGCCCCACCCCCTCCCTTTATAGATGACAAAACAAAGACCCAGGCAGCAGCGCCAGGGCAGTAGTAAGAACCGCCTCTCCAGCCCTATTACATTGCACACACCCACCTGCCTCCTGATGATCTTGGCCCTGCCACTGGTCCCTCCCAGCTTCCCCCAGCAACTGCCAGACAGCCCAGAAACCTGGACAATGAGAGGGCTCCGAGTCTTGGCTTGTTCCTGAGGTCTATCACTACTTACCATCTAGTCAGCCAGCCAGCTGCCTTGATCCCCCTTCTGGGAGATGAGAGGCCCCCTCCTGCCCACCCGTTCTTCCCGTGCCCCCTCCTCAGGAACAACCCTATGTGCCATTTTGGGTGGAGCCAATTCCCAGGTTGCCTAGGCAATGAGACCGTGTCCTGGGAGCACTGTTCTAGAAGCTTAGGCAGTGACCTGTGTGATGTCACCAGGAAGTAGCAGAGTGGCCAGGTAGTTCCAGCAGGCCCTCGGGAAGGGCCTGGGACACAGCACCCGGAAGCTCCAGGCAGCAAGTCCTTTACAGTCCTGCCTGGACCCGGATATAAGTATTTGCCCACAGCAGAGCTCACACCCCTGCTGGGCTCAGAGCAAACAGCCCGAAGTGTCTTGAGGGAGTAGCTGGAACAACAGAGCACCAGCACTGCCTGGGGTGCTGTCATGGTCCCCATGAACACATACCGTCTAGGTGTGGACATGGCCAACCCGTCATGGGCACAATCTCTTTCTCATTCTCACTCTCGCTCTTTCTCTCTCTCACACACACACCAGGCATAGCTGGCACATCCAAAACACAGGGCTACGAGGGAAAGCAGAATTCCAGGTCAGTAGCCAGTAGCTGTCACTGTAAGTCCATCCCAACTTCCCATGGAGGAACTGCCACACTCACAAGGCACCAGCTCCCAGTGACTCCCAGTCACATCTCAGTACCCTCACAAATGTCCTGCGCAGACCAGCATTATGCCACATGCACTGCATCGTGGGGGTCCATGGGCCGGCACTATGCCACACGTGCTGCGTCATGGGGGTGTGCAGGCCAGCACTATGCCATGCTGCACTGTGGGGGTATGTGGACCAGCAATAGGCCACATGCACTGCGTCATGGGGGTCCATAGGCCAGCACTATGCCACACGTGCTGCATCATGGGGGTGTGCAGGCCAGCACTAAGCCACACACGCTGCATCGTGGGGGTGCATGGACCAGCACTATGCCACATGTGCTGCGTCGTGGGGATGTACAGGCCAGCACTAGGCCATGCTGCACTGTGGAGGTACCTGGACCAGCAACATGCCACATGGGATCATGGGAATGCACAGCATGTCTGTGGTGGGAGCTTTGGTAGGATGAGACCTGGTCACACTGCATTCTGTCCCACCTCTCGGCCCCATCAGAGGGTCCCCCAAGGAACATCAGCCCCATGAGGAAAAGTGGCTCACCCAGCTGACCCCACACATGGTCTCCTGGGTGTGGAAGTTGAGCCACCTCCAGTGGGAGCTGGGAGAGATCCAGGGGTTCCTCTGTGCAGGCTACCTAGTGTCCCCAAGAGCCTCTTTCCTCAGGAATAATAAATAGCTCTGGGCCTGCCATCTCCCCTCAGCTAGGGCGGTCCTCCCCAGAGGCCCCACTAGCTCTGTCTTTGAGCTGACCAGGAAGGAGCCAGAAAGAGAAAGTAGTGCTGCTGCCAGAAACAGTACCTCAGGCTGAGGCTGGAATTCTCCCAGGCAAGGAGAAGAAGCCGTTGACAGCCTTGTTCCTCCAGCAGGTCCCAAATCGCCCCTGCCCGCAGGGGAGAGACTGGTCAGACTGGGAGCCTCTAACAGGAAATGCCCGGTCTTTTGGAGGTGACATGGATCAGACCAACAATCAAACTGAGTTCCTGCAGTGCCTGAAGGGGTCTGACCTGCAAGGAGCAGGGCACCCCATCACCTGCAACCCCTGG